GCAACAGCATTTTGAAATTTGAGGTGGGCGGGGCCAAAAGCGCGTCGCGTCACGAAATTCAATGTTTAAAGGGTCATATATTTGAAACTATACCCCCCAGACATTTCAAACTTGGTAATCTGGACTATTTTTTGCTGTAGATTTCAAATATTTAGACAGAAAGAAAGTAGCTTGTTTCATTTTTAAGTCAGAGGGGCCCCAAAATGGCCCAAAACTCATCTGGACCAATGTTGGGGGGGGGGGGGGTGTGTAAGTCAAAAATTGAAAATAGTTTTTTCACCAATTTTTTTGCCTGTAATAGCCCCCGATTGAAACTACTTTCATGTAAAATCTTACATATTAACTTCATTGAATGAGATATAGCCCTTGCAAAAAGCAAAAAAAAATTGGGTTTTTTTACGATAACTTGACCCCCCAAAAAACCAACGTCAGACATTCTGCACCAAATTTTGCTTCACATATGTTTGAGGTTGGTCCTTAGTGAAGTCCTCTGAAAAGCTTCTGTTCTTTGTCTTTGTCCCCATCTGCACTGTCTTCTGACATGTCTGAATCATTGATGACCGGTTTATCGATTCGGTTGATAATTTCTTTCAACCTACATGTACATGCAAGTTCATCTGCACCTAGAGGCTATCCTCCTGATGAAACAAAAAACAATGACCCTTTAACCAATCCGCGATTAACCGATTTTTAGTACTTGATCTGGGAGAGGAGAGCTTTCTTGACAGAAGAATCACCTTCGTGTCGCTTGCTACTTATCAAGTCATCCACCTCCTCTGCCGACTTGCATATTGCACCGCAAATTTTGAGGACATTATCAGTATTGTCAATAGTCAAGGCAACTAGCTTCCGTTCTTTTTCCTCTTGCGCTTTCTTTCGTTCATCTACCTCCTTACGTCTTTGAATTTTAATTCCCTGTACCTTTTCCTGATACTGCTTTTTGAATTTTTTTCTGATTTCTCGCAGCTTTGTAGATTGTAGCGTCCTTTTCACTATCCGCACAGGTGTCCAGGAAGTCCAATGTTTTGTTTTGCGTCCACATGATGATCCCCTGCATTGCAAGCGCTGAAATGTTTGAACTTTTCCATTTCAAGTAGTCCAGCCCTGCAAACACCCTTTCAGCAGGGACATTATCCTTAGGAAAAGACTTTGTCTCCTGATGAATACGATCTCCTGGTTGGTGGAATTTTCCACCTGGCAGATGATCTTTCAGTTGTCTTACAATGCATACATACACATTGTGTAGAATAATTGATAGAGCTTGTCTTGTATTAAATTCTATCTCCTCTTCTACAGGCTCATACAACGCTTGATGTACCTCGTCTCTTACAGGGACAAAATCCGCGAGCATGACAGCACTATAGTCCAACAGTGGCTGCGGATCCACCATCCATTGACTTATTGACGTATGAAGATCTGTGTAGTGGGCACTTGTTTGTATCGCAGAAATGTGTTCCGTGTCCAGCATCCGCATGATTGGTCCAGTTATGTGAGTGTTTATGATGCCCATGGCTCTGATACCGCCAATAATGATGGGGTCTTGCAGATCATACATTACTGACCGAGAGAGTTGATTGTTTTGTCGGTGGATAGGTAAAGATTGGTGTGTTCCTTTGATGTGGCCATGGTGGTGGGCAAGCTCCATACCAGAAACCGGAGACTTTTTTTTTTGGCCTTATTGTAAATCACCCCTTTTTTTATTAACATGTTTTTTAGGCCGACTGATGTTGCATGTGTTATGACAATCTGTGTTACCTGATGCTCTCTATCTCTTCTGTACTCACACCGCAGATTGCGATTAACGATAAATATGCGTTGGCTAAAATGATTTACTTAAATTTAAAGAGTGAAAAGGTGGCGGTCGTACACTGTACTCCATCCCATCTTATATTTTTATTGGTTAGACCTAACGTTAACGTTTACATGTAAGTGTCAAACTTTTACTTAATGTTTTGACATGTTTGACAGTTCTGTTTCTCACGTTAGTCTAACTGTAACGTTAGTGTCTGTAGGTCCTAATGTAATAAATAACGTTAGTGTCAATCATAAATGCAAGGTGAAGTTAACAACAGTATTTTTACATTTTTGGATTTTGGTCCTATGTTATGTGCAAGTTTTTTACAAACAACATACTTTTCCCAACTTAAACAAAACACTTACCATAGCTCCGTGATTGATGGGTAGTTCATCTTCACTGCTTGAGTCAAGTTCAACCCCATCACTATCGTTGGAATCAGACAAGTCTTGTTCACCAAGATCTTGGAAGTAGTCTTCAATAACTTTGAGCATACCAGAGTCTTTCAACCCACACGGTGCGGCATCATTAACAAGTCTTGCGATCCTGTCTTCGCAATCTCGACAATCAGACTCGGAATCCATGATTGAAAACCATCCAACAAGGATAAAAGACTACACCAAATTGTGAAATGCTTAAACCCGCAGAATAATTGCAAATTTCAGCCAATTTTGTGACTCAACACACACAACACAACGAAAGGCTACTAGGTATGTGAAGAAAAAATTCAAAGTGAACCAATACCAATGCAATCAGTACCACTGGAAAGAGCTTGAAAAATCCTACGCAGTGATACCAAAATTATTGAGATATCTTAATTGATTAGGATATTTCAAGCATTTGAAGCTCGTTAATTAGCGTCATTTATCTTAAAGGTAATTGAATAGAATTTTGTGACCGAAAACGCGACTTTTTTGAATAAAAACGCTTGTGGTTCCTTCGTTAATCAAGATATCTCAATGAAACTTGCAGGCAATGTGTATCTTGTTAGGGTGAAAAAAAAATGAAAGATTAATATGCTGATTTTAATCGTCTTCTTGGCCTAAAATGAAATTTATAACATATTAATATAGGAGCTTTCATCAATTATTTGGAGTCCTGTCTGGAGTGTCACTCTCGTCTCATTTTGTCCCTGGAAAGATACATAAGATTAGTAAACAACATCTATAAGAGTGTATCTTACCTAAACAGCAAAACTTTCATCTCAGGTTCACTGTCTAGACCAACAGAAATGTCCTACCATCCATACAATTTCTTTGAAAAGTGTCTATCCAAGTCCACTTATTCCACACAGACGACAACATTTTCCACTCGCTCATGCCAGAATTGTCAGTCTCATTGATCAAGAACTAAAACTGTGGATGAAGTACCAACACATTCATGTTCACATCATTAAGTCACCAGCAATTAAGTCAGCTGCCAATGCAAAGGGGGACATATCATAATCAGTTGCATTGTCATATGTCTCACCCATAGACCAATAGGCCACAACGAATGTCAGTCGTTTCATACCCAAGTCGTTTCGTATACCCAGGTCGTTTCGTACCGAGGTCGTTTCGTACCCAGGCCGTTTCGTACCCAGGTCGTTTCGCACCCAGAAATCATTGCACACGTGACAAAGGGTTCCAAATCCTTTTCTATTGAACAACAATGCTACTGTCAATCACTCTTGGTGGTTCACGGGACTTGTGTTGACGGTGCTGCGGTTTGTTTTGTCTGATTTTTTTAACCTGCCACTGCATGTTTTTTGTTCTTCTTGGAGCTTGGATTTTATCTACCCTACGGTTTGTGGGTTTTTTGAGCTTGGGTTATGATCGACGAAGTTTGTCTTCTATATTGTAGCGTGATTTTCTTTGGTTGCTTTTTTTTTCGAAATTGTACGTTTGTTATTAAATTTCATGTTGTTTTTACGTAAACGTCTTCCGTCTATTATAATTATCAAGTTTTGACTTTAATTAAAAACTATTGTAAGTCATAAAAAATGCAGTTGAATTGTTTTTAAAATTTTGAATGTTTCAATCTACCCTGGTGTTAATGTTTTCACTCTTCTATAATTATCAAGTTGTGATTTCAATTCAAAAACTGTTGCGAGTAATAAAATGCAATTCACTAGTTTTGAAATTTTCAATGTTTTTCAATGTGTTCAGTTTGGCATTGTTTTGGCAGTAATAAAACAAAAACAATTTCGCATTGCATAAAAAAGTAGGCTCTTTTTCTAACCTGTGGAGAAAACGAAATAAATGTAATTTTTTATTAATCATTTATTTCCATTTTTATTCTGCCTTTGATGCAAATCTTCAAGACAACAATCTCTTTTGTAGATATGTTGGTCTGAAAGGACCGGTTGTTTTGTTGTTGACCTACAGGGCTGGACCTGTCAGGTACTTGCAGGCTGCCAGGAGTCCCGATGTTGTGAGGCGACGGGCTTGGTAGTCGTCCCACAACTTGAAAATCTTCCCTTGAACCTGCTGGTACATGTACATCCGCCGCTGGTTCCTGCAGAGTCGAGCTTCTTTGACCAGCCTTAGCTGGACGTTTACGTAGCTGGATTCTACGTACAGGAGCTTGATGACGTTGTAGAATTAGACGGTGTGACGTCCTGTTCGTGCGGGTACTCCGCATGAACACTGACCAGTCACGTGGGCTCCATGTTGAGTTCTCCAGCCACGTGGTGCGAGGGTAGCTGCACAGCTCAACCATGGCAGGTTGATCAGTCACCAGGCTGCTGAGTTCTTTAAAAGCTGGCCCGATATGTTCATTAGGCAAGAACGGGAGTGACAACAGCTGGCCGATGAAATCCCGAACTCCGTCGTTGGACATGTAGGGTACTGCCAAATCGAGTGCCTGACACTTTCTCCAGACTGCCTGTGTCCAATGAAACAGGCAGCCCTTCACGGAAGCATCCGGAAAAAACAGCTAGGATGGCACCCCACAGTCCAACTTCAAAGTTCACCACTAGCTCTTGAAGATTTGCAGCACAGGACGGCAGCTTCCTCCGCAGGGCCTTGAGCACCTTCTTATAGTCTTAGTCTTTGTCGGCCGAGTCATCAAGACAAAGGCCAGCGGAACCTGCTTCATCCCACCGGTATCTCCCTTGACGAAGGCGTGAACTGAGAACAGTTGGGTGAACGGACGTTTCACCAACTTGAAAGTTCCATCCAAGTACCAGGTCTTGGCGCCATCCAGCACATGGAGTTGATCTGGTTTAAAAAAACACCACATGGCGAGCACAACCGAGGTGAATGTCTTTCTGGAGGAAGTGTTCGGGGATGAAGCCTTGGTCAATTATAAGGTCAATGTCTCGTGGCTCGGGAGGGCGCTGGCTCTGGTGGTGACGGTTTGCAGCCCGGGACAGGTTGGTTGGATTAGGACAACTTGCAGCGGGTGTGTCAGGTTGAAGATGTGTGGTGATGACATCCTCGACAATGGCCCCTGCTGATTTGGAGATGTCAGCCTTGGCCTTGGTTATCACCAACGCCTTCACTTGAACTGTGACGTCTGCCCCGGGATGCGCTGGGTGCGTCTGCTTGGTGTGAACCCCAGCATGAAAAAGGTTGCCATCTTGGTGAACAGACACGGCACACCTGTGCAACTTGCCCCGGACACTACACAGCCATGTGACTTTGGAAGAAGTGGAACCGGCCTTCTTCCACTTCTTCGTGTAGGTGTAGCTGTGACTATCAACCAAGATGACTTTACCCCGTTTCGTGCCGGACTCCACCGTCTTGTAGGTAGTGATGTCCTCATCACCTAGGCCAGGGATTACAGCAGGTAGGGCAGCATCGAGGAGGGGGTTCTCGGCTACTTCAAGTGGTACATCAAAGTCGGTCTTGTTTCAAGCGCGGGTAGAGCATAAATAATGACACGAGTTTGACACAGATCATAACTTTGTGGAAGCAGCCATGTTTCACAGATTGACAATACACAGCGCCCTCTGTTGGCTAAAGGGTGCATAGTACATATTGTTACATCCTCCCCTTTTTGAGTTTGTGGAAAAATGCATACAATTTGGGTTTTTTTCACAAATTACATGTAAAACATTGATTTCCTTATACATTTAACAGTCTGATGGTTACAATAGTCCATTAACTTTGAGTTCAAAGTTCAAAAGTTCACGTGCTGAGTGGATATTAGCTGTCTTTCAACAATAGTGCCGAGATTTTTTTTTTTTTCTTTTCTTTTCAAAAGGCTTTCAAAATGCAGGCTTCCATGTCTGAATCAACAATTTGAACTAGATGGCTTAAAGAGTAATATGATTAGGCAACAACATCTAAAAAACTTTAGAGTAAATGCAACATGAGTAACACTTGAAAACGCAAAAACGAACTTTCACTATTTGTTTTTTTGCTTTTGGTTTCCAAACTTGAATAGAAAATCACTTTTCCTGAAGATGGTTGTTTTTGGTTCCAGAGGGAAAAGGATTAAAAACGGAGTGGAAAGATTGGTGTTTTTGTGTGTGCTTTTTTTTTGTAGTTGTTGGACTAGTGATTAGAATCGAACATAATCTTGGAATTTAGCTGGTTCACATCGAGTGCGAGTGGATCTTCGCAGTGTGGGCTGTTCAGTGGGGGTGGTTGTCGGATCGTACGATGTTGGGATTTTGGAGTTAGTAGGTGGTGCGGCTGGGACAGGATTGGGTGGTACTGGAGTCATGTCTGGTTTGATGGAGACTTCCTTCTGGGAGTCAGTGGTTCTGGGACATCCTTCTGGGACGTGCAGTGTGTTTCCAGTACTAGGCTTATGTTGTTTTGGGGGTGGTTCCTTTGACTTCCTCAGGTGTTCTCGGTTTCGTCTGTAAACCTGGTCATCTTGAAGCACCTCATAGGATCTCTCATCAAGTTTGCGCAGAACGAGTGCCTTCTTCCAACGGTCTTCTCCTTGCCGGAACGGTTTCATGCGCACAGTGTCACCTTGTATCAGTGAGGGCAGGTCTTTTGTGGATTGGTTGTAGTATTTCGCTTGTCTCCTCTGGTTCAGCTCCAACTGTTTCATCTCGCGTTTGCCCTCGGAACCTCTGGCTTGGAGTAGGCGTCGTGATGTTGGTATCAGTGTCTTTGTTCTCCGCCCAAGGAATCGTTGAGCAGGGCTGGAGTCAACGCCTTGAGTTGGTGTGTTCCTGATGTTCAACAGGGCAAGGTCTTCATCTTCACCTGTGGCAAGGCATTTCTTCAGCATCTTTTTTGCAGACTTGACTGCAGACTCAGCCTTTCCATTTGCCTTGCTGTTGTATGGGGAGATGGTGTTGTGTTTGATTCCCCACTTTCGTGTGAAATCACCAAAGTCCTTTGAAGAGAATGGTGGACCATTATCGCTGACTATGATGTCTGGTATGCCGTATCTGCCAAAATGATGTTTGAGCTTGCCAATGACTGATCTGGCAGTTGTGCTGTGCAGACGATCCACCTCCCAGAAGTTTGACTTGTAGCACACAGTGATGAGGTAATCTTTCCCATCATGGTGGAAAAGATCTATGCCAAGTTTTTCCCAGGGTCGTTCGGGTATGTCATGGGACATCAGTGGAAGTGGAGCTTGGGACACCTCGTATTCTCTGCATGTCTCACAGCACTCGATCCACTGACGGATTTCATCTGTCATACCAGGCCAGAAGACGTATTCTCTTGCTCTTCGCAAAGTGCCTTCCACACCGATATGGCCCAGATGCAGATCTTGCTTGATGACCTGTCTCATGGCTTTCGGGATCACAAGTCGCTCACCCCGAAACACTAGGCCATCATGGACGCAGAGCTCATCACGGACGGAGAAATATGGAGTAATCTGCGCAGGAAGCAGATTCTTATGTTCTGGCCATCCCTCCTGAATGGATTTCTTCAAGAGTTGAAGAACATCATCACTCCCAGTCATCTGTTTGATGTCATATATCCGCTCCTCAGGTAGGGTCAGGTACTGGAGTGCATTCACCGTTTCGAACTCCTTTTGGCTAGACTCGTAGGGTAGGAACGATCTACTGAGGGGATCAGCTATTAGATTCTTCTTTCCCTGAAGATAGTTTACATCAGCGTTATAGGCCAATGCTCGCAAGAGCATTCCCTGTAGGCGACGGGGTGCCTTGTCAAGGGGTTTCTTCACGATGCTCTCCAGTGGCTTGTGGTCAGAGTAGACAGTCACATGTCGTCCAAATGTGTATTGGTGCCACTTCTCAAGTGCAAACACCACAGCTAGCATCTCCTTCTCAATGACTGCGTACCTGGTTTCGGTATCGCTCAGGGCTCGGCTGGCATAAGCAAGGGGTTTTCCATTTTGAAGAAGAGCAGCCCCAATTCCTCTATCACTAGCATCAGTGTGAATAACGAGCTCCTTCTCAGGGTTGAAGTAGGTCAGGACTGGAGCTTCGGTCAGCAACTGTTTCAGCTTACCAAATGCTTTGTCATGGCAGGCATTCCATGACCACTCGACACCTTTGCGGGTTAGTGCATTTATAGGCTCCATCACCTGTGACAGACTAGGGAGAAATTTGGACAGGTAATTCACCATACCTCTAAGCCTGTCAACGTCATCTTTGCTCGTCGGGGGCTTCATGTTGATTATAGCCTCTATCTTAGAAGGATCAGCTTTTAGGCCATCGTGAGAGATTATATGGCCCAGGAAGTGCACTTCGTGCACAGTGAAGCGAGACTTCTCTCTGTTGAGGATGATTCCCACCTCTTTGCATCGTTGCAGCAATTTTCGAACACGACGATTGTGCTCTTCGACATCTCTGCCCCATATGATGATGTCGTCTGCTACGCAGCGGACGCCTTCAAGACCATCAAGGGCTTGATGCAGTCTCTTCTGAAAGATCTCGCTGCTCACCTTCAGGCCAAATGGTAACCGTTTCCAACGGTATCTGCCCCAAGGAGTGGCGAAAGTAGTCAGCTTACTGGACTCGTCGTCAAGCTCGCAGTGCAGGTAGCCATCTTTCAGATCACAGATGGAGAAATGAGTAGCCTCATTTAGCTCTGGCAGGATGTCGTTCAGTACCGGGAGAGTGTAGTGCTCCCTCATGAGGTATTTATTCAGGGGACCAGGATCAATGCAGATTCTGACAGAGCCGGATTTCTTCTTGGCTACAGACATTTGGCTGACCCAGTTAGTTGGCTCATCCACTTCTGCTAACACATCTCGGTCTGTCAATTTCTCGAGCTCGGCCTTGACAGCAGGCTTGAGTGCTTCTGGAACTGTACGTGCAGGGCGTATGACAGGTTCGGCATCCGAGCTGACCGTAAGGTGCACTCTTTGGCCAGGCAGAATGCCAGTGACGGACGCATTGAAAACATCAGGGTACTCACTGACGAAATCAGCATGAGTTGGGGTAACACCATGGACTTGTGAGAACTTGTCGTAGTTGATGGTAATGAGACCCATCTGTTCGGCGGCCTTACGACCTATGAGAGGTGTGAGGTCCTTGTCCACGATCACGAAGTTGACTTTGTACTTCTTCAGCGTCACTGGATTGCGAAGTTTTATGGTGCTTCTGCCGACAGCAGTCATACAGGAGTTGTTCCACATCTTGAGCTCAATTCGCGCTGGAGAGATCTCCATGGCATATTTCTTGGGAATCAGATTGATAGTTGCGCCACAGTCAACCTGAAACTTCACAGGTTCACCCTTGATCTCCATGGTGCAGTATACTGGCTTGCTGTCGTCTGTTACTGAGTTAATGTCAGTGGTGACACAGCTCACGCTCTCTCCTGAAGACGAAGTGTAGCCGTCTTCATCTACTGCATGGACACGGTGATTTTTGCAAACTCTGGATTTCTTGAAGTGATTCTTTACACCGCATGAATCACAGGTGCGGCCCCAGGCTGGACAGAGTTCCTTTTTCATGGGATGGTTCCCACTGCAGAACTTGCATCGCTTAGAGATAGGCTTCCCGCCTTCGTTCACTGGGGCTTTACGAGGAGGACGCTGCTTCGGCTGTCGTGGCTTTTTGTCAGTTTTCTTTGGCCTCACTTTGTGCACAGTTTCCTCCTTCTTCATCGCCTTCATCTGCACGGTTGCAACCTCAACAGCTTTGCAGATCTCAATGGCCTTTGTCAGTGTGAGGTCGTGAGTTGCCATCATTTTCTCTCTCATTTTGTCGTCTAGTACTCCCATTAGGAGGCGGTCCATTAGGAGTTTGTCTTTCATGCAGGCACAGAGTCCACATGTTTTGCTCATGGTGCGGAGTATAGAGATGTATTGCTCTATAGGCTCACCTTCGTCTTGGTTGCGACGGTTGAATTTGAAGCGCTCAAAAAATTCTTGACGTTGGCCGAGAAAATGAGAGTCAAATTTCTCGAGAATCTTTGAGCAGATCTGATTGTCCGCAGGATTATCAAATTTCATCCCATTGTATATGCGTACACCCTCCGTGCCAATACTGTGGAGCAGCAGAGCAGTTTGGTAAGCCTCAGGTTGGCTTGCAAGGTTTGTGAGGACACAGTAGTTGTCCCACATTTGACGCCACATCTTCCACTCTTCGGCTGCATCCTTAGCACTTGCATTAAAATGAGCTGGTGGATTGATGTGTGGCTTTTTATATTGCTCCGAAACATTAGAGCTTGAAGCAGTTTGGGTGGCTCCAGGAGTAGTTGGCATTTTGACAGTAGATTGTCAGTTATTCAGTTAATGGTGTAGGCAAAAGTACATGTATTCTATGAGCAAAAACACAGTGCAGAATCACACTTTGGAACGGTGGACAGTTTATCCAAGTTGAAATGAGAGAGAGATGACAAATCTTCCAGCAGTAGTCACACGGGAGTGTCACTGTTCAACATGTTCATGTGTACAGTACAGTACATGCAGTACAATGCCGCAGTATGCAGTGAAAATGAGACTCACGCAGTTCGGCATAAAACAGTCAGAAATCTTGTCATTTGTGCCAATAATGTTGTCAACAGCAAACAAACATTAATTGCAGAAACTTCTATAAATGTTCATGAAGCTTACCACCGCTGCCAGCATGTTTCAAGCGCGGGTAGAGCATAAATAATGACACGAGTTTGACACAGATCATAACTTTGTGGAAGCAGCCATGTTTCACAGATTGACAATACACAGCGCCCTCTGTTGGCTAAAGGGTGCATAGTACATATTGTTACAGGTCTCGACGTTGAAATCACCGTCATCAGTAGGGAGGTCTCTGTTCTCCTTGATGTCCATCGGGTCTTTCTCCTGTTCTTGGTCTTGACTTGTACAGGGTGCACAGATCCAAACTTCCAGCCTGGATGGATCGTCACGGATCTCCAGGTACTGCTGGTGACTAAAACCAGAGTTGCAGCCAACATGCTGCCATCCCTGGCAGCGCTCACACTGGAAAGCATGCTGGTTCGCACGAACAGACTTCTTACAGAAGAGGCAAGGATACTTGATTGGCATCTTGACCCAAAAAGTGCCCAAAATGTGACTTTAGAGAAATTTATAAGGCTTAAATTTTGACAACCGATAGAATATAAGAGTAGCTACCGATTTATGAATGAATTTTTTTTTTTCGACCATGCATGCATTTTTTCGTTGTACAAAATGTAAGTACCTTAACTCGAAAAGGCATTTGCCGACTTCCGCCTGGTTTTGGGATGGCGGGTCACATTTGACATCATTCGGTTCAAGTTCTAGCATGCGTGAAAAGGTGACTTGCCTTTCTTTTGTGACTACCCCAAAACAAAGATACTTTGTCAGAATAGGCCTCTTCCCATCAACACAATGACAACACTGGGCCAAAGGTGGGCATTAAGAGGAGGAAGTTGTAAGCGGACGCTGACCTTGAATGCTTTGCAATGCACCACCTGCAACAGCACTCTTCTTTTGATCCCAAAGAAGCCTCGCTGTGGTATTCTGTCCGAAAATGTCATTGGTGAGGGTCTCATCTAAGTTAGCAAATGCCTCCTCCATTCCCTTCTCCTGTAGAGGAGTATAAAGGTGAATAATTTCTGCTTCCATCTCGGATGATATTTTGGTTTCCAGTGCAGCATTTCTTCGCAGCAAATTCCTTCTATCACTCTGGAGATCTACTACCTCTCCTGAAGCTGCTGCTTTGACAAGGTAATATTTGGGGCTTTGGATGATGCTGATCCGCTGCGTTGTTGCTTCCCTATTAACTGGCTTGTAGCAGATGAGAGATCACCTTTGTGTACTTTACAGTAGTCACATCTTGTTCCACTTGATTGCACCAAACGGAGACATTTCTTGTGCCGCACTTAACTGTCCCGTCCACAACGACATCATTGTTAGTGATCTTTGTTGGAACTTGACCTTCTGAGCCACACTTCGATGCCACCAGTTCAGGAAGTCAGGATTTCCCAGACATGCATGCATCCCATCAAGCTTGCTGAACATGATGAAGATGTCTTCGGGACTCAGGAACTCAGGGACATCCTTGCACAACGGGTGATCACTATTACAAGTGATGCCACAAATATTAAGCACCCACGAAAAATTGGCCATGATTGTGAAAAACACTATGGGATTGCCCATCTCATCAACTTTGACGATTCTTACTCTATTTTCCCCTTTCCAGACCATGAAGGAAAACTTCCCAGCTGTAGTGCGGTGATCATCTATTAGTCACAACGACTTCACCAGTGCACCTGTCACATGAACTAGTGAAGGTGGTGATTTTTATGTTGCAAACAGCTTTTTTACACTTTGCGCGGTTTTCTTTCCATCTCCTTAGCTTCAGCTCATACGGCTTGCACAGATACACTGTAGGGAGGATAGATGCCCATCACATTGTCAGCTACAGCGTTGTCAAAAGCAGCCTTGATGTCCACAGCAAACCGCTCTTTCAGCACAGGATTTCTATACTTCTGTTGGGCAGGACTCTCACCAGAAAGGCGACAAACTTCCAACAAGCAAACCTTGTGTTGATTCATCCGACTCTGTTTAATAATAGAATAAAATGTTACATGTAATTAATAAGTGTTGAGACAATGCACCCATTACACACACACACACACCCATACTTGTAATGACCTGCAAACGTGGACTTTCATGTTTTACCATACAAACGAGGACTGCAGTATTTTAAGGGCTACTTACGCTGTGTTTTAACCGCAGACGTCTTAAAAATGGGCGGTAACAGGTTACTGAAGCTTTCTTGCTTCACGAAGTTTTCACATTCAAACCGTGGACGTACACAAGACGTCCACGCTGGTATAGTCAGTTAATAGGTCCACGCTTGCATGTCCATAACAGGAGTATAACGAACACAAGACGTCCACGGTGGTATTGTTGATTGGTCCACGCTTGCATGTCCATTGCAGGAGTACAACGAACACAATACGTCCACGGTGGTATAGTCGATTAATAAGTCCACGCTTGCATGTCCATTACTCACATGAGTATAACGAACACAAGACGTCCACGGTGGTATAGTCAATTAATAGGTCCACGCTTGCATGTCCATTACATGAGTATAACGAACACAAGACGTCCACGGTGGTATAGTCGATTAATAGGTCCACGTTTGCATGTCCATTACATGAGTATAACGAACACAAGACGTCCACGGTGGTATAGTCGATTATTAACACCCTTCGGTTTTACGGTCCCCGTTGATGGAATGCCATCCCTGTTGACGTAAGAACAAAGTCGTCTGTGGGTCGATTTAAGACTTCTTACAAAAGAGTCCTCCTCTCCCATTATGTAACATAGCTTTAGTCCTCTCCTTATTTATTTACGTTTTTATTCGTCATCAGTTATTAAATTCTTTCTTTTTATTATTTTGCCTTCAGCTCTTCTCCTGTCTTTTTGTGTGTAGTCTGTCCCGTCCTTGTTTCGTTTTGTAGCTGTTGATGTTGTTGCTGCTGTTGTCTGAATGGGCTGTTTATTACAAGCCTCGGCTTATTAACAGCCCCATGCTCTTTCTTTTCTCTTGTACATATATCCTTTTCTTTAATTTGATTATTAGTTCCAAGCGTTCACTTTTTTGTTTATTATTTAATATAATACATGTATAGTTACTTTGTTATTTTCCTGTGTACAGGTTTTCTTTAATTATCGATGCGTTTTCCAAAAAGAGTATGGAATAAATGTCTTATTGAATTGAATTGAATTGAATAAGTCCACGCTACATGAGTATAACGAACACAAGACGTCCACGGTGATATAGTCGATTAATAGTAGGTCCACGCTTGCATGTCCATTACATGAGTATAACGAACACAAGACGTCCACGGTGGTATAGTCGATTAATAAGTCCACGCTTGCATGTCCATTACAGCTTAGAGCAAGGAACAGACAGGAGTATAACGAACACAAGACGTCCACGGTGGTATATCGATTAATAGGCCCACGCTTGCATGTCCATTACAGGAGTACATCTAGTATAAGGTATACAAGATGTAAATAAGATTTGTAATTAAGATTTGAAATTTTCAAAATGTCATTTGTTGGTGTTTTCTAAGGTCATTCACAGCAATAAAAGAAACGGAAAAGAAAAGAGAAAAAATATATACAAAGTCACATAGATAGATTGAACTCAACAAATTAACTGAAACATTTATTTCTGCAAACAATGTTAATTATCAAAGATAGATGCCAACTTGGAAAAAGATAATTATTAAAAACCAACGACAAAAATACAGAGTTCCAAACTCTAGTCTTCTGTTCTAGGGGTCACAATTAGCACTCTCTGGGCTTGGAAAAACTTGCAATACACAAGTCTTGTACATTCTAATCTCTTGTGAAGTTTTGATAACATTTCAGTTTTAAAATGTATGTAAGAGGACATAACAATTTCAAATACCACATTTGCAGTTTGTATTTGTGTTCACCTCTGCCAAAACTATTTATTTTACTGTTCCGGGAGTTGTTCTATCATGTGTGCATAACGATTATCATTACATGTATTCTATGCAATAAGTGTACACTAGAAAAATAATAGATGAAAATACTTTACTTAAGTTAAGTCAACAATATTAGTGATACGGTTATCTGTGTTCAGTCATAAGGTGGCAAAATGACCAAGACAAGACCTACTGTATGTGGGTTTTTTTTCTCAAACTATTTGACCCCCCCCCCACCAGTTGCAAACATGAACTGTTAAAATTGGGACCAATCTACACTTTCTGAATGTATTTCATCTCTTGCGAACTGCCTATCAACCTCTAGGCCTATAAGATTATATAACTTGTTTGAATAAACAAGTTAAAGGAACAATTGAGCTTTATTATAAAACTGGAAACTCTTTAGGCCTCAGAAATTGAAAAAACTTCCTTTCAACTTCTACATGTATATGATCACTGATATTGTTAAAGTAAATAAATGAAATGGAAATTAAAATTTTAATTTCAACGAGAAATTAAATTTCAGATTTTAACTAAATGACAAGCAAATTGCTATAATTGTATAGTGCACGAGTCTTAAGTATACACTTCTTATAAACCATGTGTTCTATTGATTACACAATGCAAATATTATATGTAATGAGTGAACACTAGAAAATAACAGTCAAAAATACTTTACTTATTAGAAGTAGTTTTCTGTGATAAGTTATTATGTGGCAAAATGCCCACATTGTTGTAGATGTCAGAAATTGATGTTTACTTCCTTTCAACTTCTACATGTATATATAAACCATTACTTTTGTTTAAAAAAGA